TTTGTTCGTTATTTTAGCTACTGAGGGTTTTTTTGTTGGTTATAATCATTTCAACACGTATACATGTATATACAAATATCATCATAATTTGCAAGTTTTTGTAGAAAGAACCATCTCCCCATGGAAATCATTGTTTTGGCCCCACACTCGTGACCTGCACATTAAAACACTCTCGATGACGTCATTTTAGTGTGGTATTTTCCCCGCAAATTCGGTGGAGATCTTTGCGATTCGCGTGGAACGTAGATTTTGTTGACATACCACGGAGGATATACGGGACGAGTCACCGCGCCACGCTCACCTCGCGACAACCCAGGATTCATTACATCATCTGCTTTATTATCGTCGGTGATTCTCGCTATAAGAATCAGAGTCAAGATTTTCCGGCCTTGTTTTTTTCTTCTTCTTCTTCTTTCCATCCGCTGTCTTTTCATGATGACTAACAATGTCTCACGGCAGGAAATCAAGCCTACTGATGACCGCACTCTCCGCTGGAGTGTTACTGTTTGTGATATTAAAGATGGAACGTCAGATTGTAAACCCGACCCCCGAACCTTGTTCCTCAATACAAACATTTGCTTACTATGTCCAGACAAGGCAATAATGCGCAAAGAAAAAAGGTCACAAATACTAGAATTGTTTAGATATTTTTGTACTGAAATTTGAAAGATGATCTGCTGTTCGTTCTTCTTGTCGGCAAGTTGTCTTCAGAACATTATTTGAAGTGTGACCTTTGAAGAAACCTCAACACATTTCGAACTTTACAATTATCAAGAATCGTTCTACTTGTATTCACTTCAAGAAATTGTGATCAGGTCTGAATATGATGATAGATACGTGTATACACCTGTTACTCGGGACAAAATGCCACTGATCAGAATAACGCGCCTTCCCACAGGATGTGCTTGTTTGTTGCTGTTCATATACATTTATAAAATCGTACAGGTCTTAAAAGAATATATTCCCAACATGTTTTGTTTACGTTTTCTTAATTTTTCTACAATATCTTTTTTTTTTTAACTCTTATCAACTTCAAACGCACTATCATATCCCAATTAATCCCATAAACATTTTCACAGACGGGAATTATATATTTTGCTCCTGCTGTTTAACCAAACGAGTTTCTTAACCAATAAGCCATGCACACGGCGGGTTTGTTTTCCGAGACTTGAGCGGCCTCAAGACGGCGTTTCCTTCCGTCATGATGACGTCAACAACGGGGGCTCGCGTTGCTCTATTCGTCACCGGTCATCATCGTATAGAGTAAGTAGTTCAGCGGAGGAAATATGTCACACCTGAGCAAAAGTACATCATTATGTCTCAGTGCTGCAAGTACAGGTCGTGGTTTCCCCCCAAAAAAACTAAGGCTGCCACACAGCAACTTAACACAAGCAATTTACAGGGAAACAATACACAAGCTTGACTAAGAAACTGGGTTTACTGCAATACAAATCTATCACGTAAACTTTTAAGCTAAACAAAAATGGCGGATTGAAAACTGGCGAAGTAAACAAAACACCCAATTTGCGTGATCATTTTGTAGATATACATGACTCTTTTATTTACATTTATTTTATTTAACAAACTCGTTCGGACCTAGCCAAATTGTTTGTTATATCAGAATTTTGTATTAAGAGGAACATCAGTCCCATTCATTGTGCACATAAATGCACAGTCGGGACCAAGGCTTTATGTTTGTTATAACCAGAATTTTGTATTAACAGAGTTTGTACTAACGAGAGTCGACATGGATTGAAGATTTGTACATGTAATTTTAAACAAGGGAAACATTTGTAAACAAAGCTTTGATAATGCAATGAAGGGAGAGGAATCGAAAGGGTATGTGCGTGTTTCATGAACGAGAATGTCAAAACGAGGATGGATAACAAGGTTCGAGGTATTTTCAGTGATTTCTCCTTTTGTGAGCCCGACACCTTGCCTGGACTTCCCTTGCCACAAACAAACAACACGAACAATCACGCCTTTTGTACGATCTTCCTGACCCAAAATCTGATTAGGTAAAATGAAATTCTATATATACATTCTACAATTTCCTCCTCGCTGAAAACAAATTACTAGTTTCAAAGAATTCATTTTGAAACCTTATTTCATACACTCTTCGTCAGTTGACAAAGTGAAACCCTAGAAATTAGCCAAAAATTAAAAAAACCTCGGATACACATTTGAAGATTTGGCGTTCCATAGGTGGTGTTGCACTTCGACTAAATAGAGAAAGGCCATTTGAACTAACACAGTCTACATTTTTGTAGTAATGTGAATGTTTCAAACGCAGTGTTCCGGTGCATACAGAGCTAGTCAAAAAGAAATTGACCGAATCAGAAAAAAAAATATTTTAACAATAAGTGGCTCGCTCCATTTCATAAAAATAACATATGGATAAAGAACATGTTATTGACTAGTAACTGTGAAAATTTCACGTAATTTGCATGCTCTATTCCCAAGTTTTGTCTATTTTAATAAAAAAGATCACACAATTCAGCTGTCCACCACTGATCATTTACCGTTCTACGAACTGATGAATACCCATTACATACAATGACACATGGACGTTTTCCCACCTCCATGAATGAATGAAAATTGCAAAGAAAAACAGACAAATTCGCAATCAATATTTAAGAGGGGGAAAAAAGAGTTGACTTGTTCCTCATGTTCAAAACACAAAATCTGACAGTAAAATAAATGTTTCAGTCTTGACTCAAATGGTTAAAATGTCACTTGTATTTGTATGCCTGCCACTGTGTGTGATCTGTAATTCTCACTCAGCTCAATAGCTTCCAATGGCATTCAGTGGACAGCTGTGAAAATAGATTCTTTTAGTAAAAGATGAATAACTTCTGATAACATGGATCAATTTCGGTCATTCTTTTTTTCAGATGAGTGGAAGAACATGCTCTTTGAAGACATACTCCATTGGTGTATCAAATTTGATTGTTGTTTTTTTCAGAAAGAAAATCATGAATCCAGGTCACTTTCTTTTTCACTCACCCTGAACACGCGTCCAGGTAACCAATTTATCAATGAATTATTGACAGGAATTAAGCATCAACAGTGCTTATTACTGGTGCATAACATCGAATCAGATTTCGACCTTGTTCCTTACTATTCTTGACAACTTTTTGTTTATGTATCTTCTTCAGCGGCCGGCATCTGTAAACTTATTTGGACGCCTAATGATTTATTAGCTTCAAAGCCTCTCCGAACTAACACGGGTATTCTTCGAGCCACGACCCACGACCGAGATATTCTAGGAAGGTTTCTCTGCAAATATTATTTTCCCGAAAGAAGAAAACAAAATCACTTTTGCTGCCGACACAGTTGTTGGACTGCGTGTATTGAAATCGGCACGACAATGCCGCGTCCTTTTGGTAAACGAGAAACCCTCTTGTGACAAAAAGGGTTCCCCTCCATCAATGGCCTGCTCGATTCCACAGAGGAAAAACATTTAGATGGCTAGTTAGCGGAGACGTGACGGTCACAATTGTGCTGGCTCGCAGTGAAAAGACCTGATTAGACTGTGCTGTGACGTGGCAGGGGAGGAACATCTGCTGCGTATACCGCGACCCAGGTGTGGCTAGCCACGGTAAAAACCACCACCACTATTTGGCCTGTTGTTCTTTTCTTAATGCTCCCCCTTTTTCCCCCCTTTCTTGTTTTTGTTTCCCCCGACTCAAACATCCGAACTTATTGACTGGGCGAATAGGCAAGGGGAAACTGGGCACCCGGTAGCCGGTGACGACTCGTGAAGCCCGTACGGGGACGGTTTGTTTGCTGACGTCGGTCAGGCAACACTGGGGGTTTTCACGGGTCTAAAATAACCCTCATTATTTGACCTGCCACCGAGCAGTGGCTGTGTGTATGGCGGAAGGTGTCAAACGTTTGTGAGTGTAGATGTGGAACCAACAAGAGATTTAAGAGAGTCGCGAACAAAATCGACATATCCACAGCATGGTTGGTGTTAAAAAAAACTCTCTTGTATATCGCCTGAGGCGTACAGCTGTGGCGTTATCAATTTCCTAAACAAACTGTGAAGACCTCCTAAATATCATAAAATTATATTTACAGGAAAAGAAATGGTATCCAGAAACGTGGGCGTTGTCACTTCAAATGTAGAAATTACGGTATATTTCAGAAATTAAATTATGGTTTCGAACATTAACCAAATCAGGAAAGTCACAAATCATTAAACTTGGTAACAAGTATCTTTATTTACTGTCAGTGTCAATTGATTTGGAGTTTTTACAGCGTTATTGTGGATGTGGAATTTTCTCAGCACAATCGATGCCATACAGAATTCATTGATGGACCCTTGATTACAAAATACCCTTCACTTTTGGTTTTACATGTATTTAACATGACTAATCCACTCTTTATGACACCTGTTTTCATTGCACTTGACCCTTAAACATCAGGGAATTTCTGCTTGTGGCGACCATGTACCAAACGGGGTGAAACAACATAACCCACGACATGTATAATTACCTCTTGTGCAATTTGCGATGTCTAATGAAGCAATATCGTCACGTCGGTTTGATTTCTGATTAGAAAAAAATAGTTCGGTTCACTCATTTGCCAAATGTTATGACATATGCGGATGCGTTGGTGGGAACAGAACCACGTGTGTCTTGCTGACGGCGGTATAGTTCCGGGTTTGCTGATCAACAACCAAAAAAAAACGGGCGGAAAAAATGTAAAAGTCATGGTTCCCAAAGCAATCTCAACATCGACAAGATCATGACTGACATTTTTATCGGGACAGCTTTCTGAAAATACACGCGATGCAGTCAACTGAGATAATTAAACCTTCTTTTTCTGTTAAAAACAAGTTCAATACATTGTGCAGTTATTGATGTACATCATTTCAGTGTGTTTATATACGTTGTGAAGTCAGCGTGAAAAGTGTTAATAAATTTCAAATGTCATTCAAACCTATTTGTGAACAAGTACAACTAACATAAGTCTCTCTTTCAAAAGTCAATAAATACTCGTGTAGTGCCGTGGTTCATTTTAATTCGACAACTGTATCATAAAGTCAGCGTTACAAGAACAAAGACATAATATTGTCTTAATAACTCCAGGGGATGTAATTCTTGAAAAAATCTTAAAATGTTATGAATTTAAAACCTCATTAAACCAATATGAAAAAGCCATCATGTTTGTTTTTAAGATAGACAATCTGTTTGTAAAAGAGTAATATAAATAAATGTAAAATTTTACTTGGACAGATGCGAGCATGTCGTCAGAAAAATTGACTGACAATTTCTAAAATCGAAAAAAAATATAAAGTAAAATTTCTATGCTTTGGTACTTGGGAGAGAAAGAAAGTTAATGCAACACTTCAAGACTGAAGAATATTGTTTTACATTCATGAAATCTCATTGCTTTAACATCAACATGGTTTATCGTGCTTTATACCTCGCAGTAGTAATTTTAGGGCCTCACAAAAGGGCATAACAAGTGCCTAACCTTGATTGGTCTGTTGTCAGAACACCATTCTCAACAACACTCCAGGAAAACAAAACCTACTGGGTTTGCCAGAGGAGCAAAAAAAAAAGCCGCCTTTGCCACACATCAGCGGCATACCGTGTAACTAACTAGCATGATTTAGGCGCGAAATAAACTCGAGCCTCGCACTGGATGGCTCTGGAATGAAGTTGCGAGCGCGCGCCGATCTTTACTAATCGAGTTACCATAGTACATCGCGGGTCGCCCCGTCTTTGTTTGCCGCTTTCTACAGTTGCAATAGCGAAGCAAAACCCTCCATCTTGCCTTACGTTCAGGATGTCAGCAACGCCGGCTAAGAAAAATACACCTGACTGGCCGGGGATCTCTGGGCGTCCTTAAGCCAGACGGTTCATCTTGTTCCGTCTTTCTTTTCACCGGGCATGGTTGCTCTTGACCCACCTGATCAGAGCCGAGGAATCGCTTGTCTTACAGGCCCCGCGGCAAGCGGGCAGCCATTGTGCGCACGTTGCTAGTCTGACAGACACCCAACCAACGCTCTTATGCACAGATCTAAAGAGCTTGTTTGTGTTCGCAGGCTGGAATTTTATTATCCTCTTTCCGATTCGATTTCGGAACAGCAAATCGAGTTAAGTGCAGGCGTTAAAAACTCCCTCCTCGATGCCAACTAGAAACCCATCCAATTGGAATGGAGAGGCATTCCAGTAGGAACATGGAAAGGTTTTTTTCCTCCTTCCAAAATGTCTAATCTCTGAGGTGGCAGCTTTTGTTAGAAATTGACAAATAAAGTTAGGTAAATTGGCTCTTTACAGAAAACTCACTCGATTCCTACACAATGTGTAATAAAAAAAATCGTCAAGGCTATGTATCAATGCCTAAGTTAATATCTGCTGAGTGCTCGACAGTCGATCTACACGATATAAATTCCCAAACTGAGTTTGTATCCCATTCTTCAAATCCACTGCTAAAAATGTAATAAATAATAACATAAAAGAAACATAAAAAATACTTCGCAAAAAAACTCTAAAAGGTGGGACTATTTACAAAACTTCTCCGAACAACTGGTGGGAAAGTTAAATTATTTCGACCAATATACCATCACTATAATAACAATAAGCCATTGATATAAAACTTTGAAACCTGTCCAAATTAAAATAGTTTTTTTTAATGATAAATTAACAGAAGCACTATAGATGAAACCTCGGGAGCTAGCTAGGCCCCTTTCATATCCAGACAAAAATCCTGCATTATATACACACAATCAGGAAAAAACCTCAAATACGTAACAACATATACATACAAGTTCCTCATAGAGTATAGCACTGAAAAAAATGAAATTTACATAATAAATATACCCTGATCGAAGTCAGTGCAAAGTTTTTGCTGTTGTTCGAAATGTCACGAAAAGTTCGTGTGGTGTCACAGGATTTGTTTTTGTACAACACTGGCGCGTCCTGGCAAAATTACAATCGCCACTCAACTTGCAAAAACGTACTTTTGAAACCGTATTTGTACATGTACTTATATAAATACCAAACATTTTCTTCGTTTCCGAGATAACGATTATATATAGAATACAATACGCTTCATATAAGCTCAATAAATAATTTTATATTTAAGAGCAAAACGTGTTAATATTTAAGGGTTTTTACAAGAACTTTGTGACCAGATTGTACCGTTTGCGAAGCAGTTTCTGTGAGTGAGTGTCGTTTTATATACAGGATTCTGTTTGCATTGCATCGAAATGTGTGCACACTCAAAAATGCAGGTTTCTGCAAGGAAATCACATGAACGACCACGGTTCAAAAACTCAATTACTTTGTTCAAAGCAGACACAAGTGCATTGTTCAAGATTAGGTTCATGGGTTATGAGTAAGTCGTTCTAAAACCAATTGTTTGCACAACTGGAATCTAGAATAGAGTAAACATTGCAAGCTATGGGTTGTTGAAGGGTAGTGACCGAGTTGACTTTAAAGAAGGGACTAAGTTTTAGTTCGGAGATAATTTTTAAAAGTCCTGAGGTAAGAATTGGGGAGATGTATAATGCACAATGTCCCTCACCTACTTAGGGTGCTGTTGTGGCGAGCGGGTGGGATGGTTTTGATCAGGCCGGGGTTAAGTTCAGTCAGTGTCCGGTGTGCTGTCCCAGGCCCGACGAGACGTGGTTAGGAGGTGGTGAGACGGAGTTGCCCCCAAGATGGACCGGTGAGCCTGCCGAGTTGTGCATGTGAGAGGACAAAGTGGTGATGACTGGCTGATGCAGTGACATGTGAGAGGACACCATGGTGTCAGAGTTGGGCGACTCACCTCCTGACATGCTACCTTGGTTGCTAGGCGGGGTCATTCGCTTCTCCTTCTGTCGCCGGTTACAAAACCACACCCGAACAACTTCTTTCTCCAACTGCAAGCTGTCTGCAAGTCCCGAGATCTCTTGTGCTGCCGGCTTGGGCTGCTTCAGGAAAGCATTTTCCAGAGCCCCCTTCACGGTCACCTCAATACTGGTCCTCTTCTTTCGCTTCCTGCCTTGCGCTGCGATCTTGTCCAGGCAAGTTGGAGAGCCGGAGGTTGAGTCGGCCTCCTCCAACCATTTGGCCAGCAAGGGTTTCAACTTACACATATTCTTGAAGCTGAGTTGTAGTGCCTCGAACCGGCAGATGGTGGTCTGGCTGAAGACGTTGCCGTACAGGGTCCCGAGCGCTAGGCCCACATCGGCTTGGGTGTAACCTAGCTTGATCCGTCGCTGCTTGAACTGTTTAGCAAACTGCTCCAGGTCGTCCGAAGTTGGCGCGTCGCAGTCCTCGACAGGTTCGTTACTCGGTGGGCCATTGTGGGACATCTCGTGCCCTAGTGGGGACCCGTTGGAATTATTTGTCCGTGGGATACCACCCTGGCAGAGTTGTTGAGCGCTACTGACCATACCATTCATCCCCATCGCTGCTCCGTATGAGGTATAGTGAGGCGAATGGCCCAAATGGTGGCCGGGTGAGTTGGATGTGGACATGGGCATACTCATACTCATGGGCATAGCCATGTGTGTGTTCGAGGGGGAATTCCATGAGGAGGGTGGCTGGCCGTGCCCGACTCTGTGGTGTAAATTCTGAATTTCTTCCCTCGTTTGTCCCACCAGGTTGGGCTTGATGTCCTGCCCCATGAGTTGGGCCGGCACGGCGGCCTGCCACATCTGACTAGCATCGGCGTGCGGGGCGGACAGCCCGACCCACTGCGCGCCGGGATGGCCGAGCGGCAGCCCGTTGTTGCTCGGCTGCTGGATGTGCTGCAGGAAATCATTGCCCAGTTTCTGATACATGACGTTCACCTGTCCCGACTGCATGTTCATGGCATGCGAAGAGGTAGAGACGGCAGTGCCGATCGGGGCCTCGGCGTCGCTATAACTGAGACCCTGCTGGTGATGATATGGCGTTGTGCTGGACGAGATTGCCATAGACATGTTGACGAGCCGTGGTCTGATCTGACTTGCAAAACAACCTGAACTGCGCGTGTAGCCGACTACTGCTACTTCCTACTCCCACTGCATGTCGTAGTCACTCGCATTCTTTACACACACTGTTTTGGGCTCCCCGTACAATCCCAGCGTACAGGCGAAGGGGGGAGCATCGGGGCGTGACGACCAACCTGATTGGTGGGATATAGACGTGACTGACATGGCTGACTGCACGACTCTCCCCGTACAATGCCGTGAATGGGCCCCATTCATTGGCTGCCCGTAATTGGATTCTACAATCGCCAAAGCGCGGTCGCAACGAGATTATGTTAATGTCCATCCTGCTAACCGGTGACACGCGCTGTGAGTGTGTTGTATACCCACACACACCCCAGCTCAGAACCCACCTGCCGGACGGTCAAAACAAAGCAAATATTTCCCTTCCCCTGGATCAGTGCCCAGAAAATTGACCCAACTTAAACCGCGGTTAAATATTTACCCATGATTAATATATATCCACAACTTTCGCTAGGCACTCTCGGATTTGGGCAGAGGGACGAAAAAAAATCATTCATGTTGTTCCGATTAATACTTCAATTGGGGCTTGATAGAGGGCGCTATTACAGGTTTGCATACCTCTCTCCGATTCCGATTCAAATTGAATTACATATGAAATCGCAATCGTGCGATAAATCAAACTGCTCTTTCCTATCACTTAAGTGGACACTTCAAGAAGCTTATAAATATGCTTCAATCGTCGTTGTGGAATTACATCAAAAGATATAACAAGCACCATAAAAACACCATGTTTTAATCCGGGCAATGTCGGCACCAATTCAGTTTAGTTAATAAAATGTCAACTCAATAATAACCGACCACGATTTGATGCACGAAATAACACTGAGTTAAATCTTTTAGCAGGTTAGAGTGTTGCATGACCTGCGGATGTTTTCCCTTTTATGCAGGTAAGTAAATTGTCGTATTTTTGGCCGTCATCGTTAAGATCATTCACGGACAAGTACCAGCATAATTCTCCCTACGCAGTGACAAAAGTCGCTCTTGAAATAATCTCAATAAACAAAGCTTAAATACATCCGACCCATCCTAAATCGTGGCAAATAGAAAACAATGCCCTTATTCTAAATATCTCCGAGTGTAAATGTAATCCAAGTTTTTCACTGTTTACGTATTGGAAAGTAAACAATAGATTCTGTCTTGTTTTTTGGGCCGTTCGGGAAACTGAAGAAGCCAGATATAAAAATAGGCCCAATTGTGTGTGTATGTATGGCGCGCCGACGCGCACAAGTCAAACCTTTTCACAGATTTCAGACAATGGCTTGACTATCCTCTGTCAGCTTTTACTGAATGGGGGTAATGAATCGCACGGGTGCAGTCAGTGCATGCGCGTGGAGGGCCCACAATGCCAGAAAAAAGGGGGACAGATTGGCACCCTTCATCAATAAACTCCATTGATTTTAAGGATGCGGGTTTGGGGTGGGTGTAGGGCTGGGGACTCTTTTACGTTGTGGCTAAGCGCTTAATACTTTCTTTTGTTTCTATGCTAGTATCTTAAACAATATACCACCCCTCCTTCTGTGAATTTAAAGGGATGGGTTTAGAAATTAGACATTGGATTTTAAGTTAGTTTCTTGTGCCACTCGATTTTAAATTTTATTTAGATTGTATGTTTGGGGCAAGATTGGGAAAACAAAGATTTTTTCATCACCAATGTGAAAACCAACTTGTAACTGTACGTGTCTCAACGCACGTACTTGAATTAGGGAGTCAAATTAGCCAGTGGATTTGGTACTTTTATTGTTGGATTTTGGTACTTTTAAAGCCACCAAAAAATTGAGTAACTGCCGTGCCGTCGTCAATAAACGCACTTTTAAACTTGATTGCAACAATTCGTAAAGTTGTTTATGAAGATTGTGTAAACGGAGGCAAGATATGTGCAGTATTGTTATAGCCACGTTGTATTTTTTATAGTGCTTGGACGGTATCCAGAAGGAGGAAATGAAAATTGACCAACAGTATGGTGTTCCATAATGTGTCATCGGCGTCGCATTTTTCGCCAGAGCTTATTTGCAGGGTGGCCGTTTTAGCCGATTTTCGGCTAACTTTGACAGATTTTTGATTGAAAAACGAGTTTGACAGAAAATTTGACAGAATGGATCCTTTTTTGCAGATTTCTGGCAGAATTCTGCAAAAACGGTTTTTTGAAAGAAAACCATTGCAAATTGGAAAAACATGGTAAATTTGTTTTAAAAAGCTTCAGTCTTTTCAAACAAACCCTTGCATAATGAACAGTTTGGCTGGTCTAGGTGCTGAGGTTCACTGGGAACCGGACTTCGTCGTGACGCAACCGCGTTTTACCTGAAATTTACGCAATAATTCCATAACATCTTTATGTGACTATATATTGTTGATAATGTAATTTGAACCCTAATTAAGGCAATACTACAAATCTGCATGTGATTTTATGTGTATATAGTGAATTTCGAGTGATTCTGGGGAATTTGGCAGATTGTTGATAAATCTGACAGATTTTTGAAGTGCATTTAGCAGAATTTTGCCATGACCTTACGGTCACCCTGCTTATTTGTGCACTGACATTTGTTCACATGGAGATCAATGGTCCTTCGCATCATGTCTGTAATGAACAACAATACATGTGTACTATTGCTTGGGTCTTTCTCCTAGAAAATCGTAAAACAAGGAAACGTTCTCAATTTTGATTCTGGGTCTGAATCAATTCTACAAACTCCCATTGTGGGATGTAGAGGTTGTATAGGTGTAGAAAATAATCATTGTCTCTTTTCAGTTTCAGAACATTTTGGAACATTTTGCAACCTACTGATGCATCAGCAACAGATCGCTGCAAAACGGTGACAATAACAGTATTTTTTTTCAACATTATTCGTAAATCAATCAGATGCATAATGAAAACAAAGAGACACACGATATGACATAGCAGAAGATCTAGGGCCATCCAAAAACTTGTATCTTTTTTTTTTCTTGTGTGACGGAAAATGTCAGCAAATTTTTAACATTTGTATAAGTCATTGCATTTATTACACAACCCGTTAAATATGATTAGATTTCAAAATGCTTACATTCATATTTTGATGCGAACTTTGATTTTTGCGCTGTCTTGTTGTCTCGGTTAGAAAGTTTCCTAACAGCACACAAAAATGCCGAATTCTTATTTTTTCTACCAGGGGACATTTTATCTAGTTGGGTCATCTTTGAGGCTAGGTCACCTACCGTCATATCCCATCATTGGCCCCCTCGGCTGGATGTAATGAGCCACGCTCCATCAACCCTACCCCAGCCCGACCTGATCGCCCGGTGACCCCGGGCGGTCCTGCCCGCTAGTCACGCTGGGTTTCCCAGCTCACGACTTGCACCGCTCAAGCCATCCATCTTTGACAACTGAATGCAAGGCCGTTCAGCAAACCTCTTGTAATACAGAACAGTCTCAAATGACTTGTAAAGATTCGTACAATCCTGGAAATTGTTGTCTTAAAATTTGAAAGCGTTAGTTTGTTTTGCTAATTAGTATCTAAATCGAGGTAAAAGGAAGGCGTTTTCTGTAAATGAAACAGGGGACATCTTTTTATATAATCACAGAAGTCACCCGTACTGAAATAATTTGAGTATTCATCTGACATTACAGGTACAATCGATGAATAAATATTTGCTTAATATGTTTCTTTTTTAACTGAATAACTAGATTTTTTAAGGTAAAGAGAGAGTGTGTTTTGTTTTTATTTTCTTGGGGATGAATATAAATTTAAGCGCAGCAATCATAACATGTTTTGCCAAAAAAAAATCCACCCACAATCAAAACAAACCAAAACAGAAAGAACAAAGAAAAATCAAAAGAGGAATGAAAAACAAAAATGTTATTGCCTGTACACTGCTCAAGGCCTGGATTCTGAAGTACCGGACATAAAACAGCCGTCGCGATCCTCTGTCTGACGAATCTCAGCACGTGAAACCCCCCCCCCCCAACCCGCCACGTCTGACTGCAGTTAATTTTCTCCACGTGCCGCGTAAGACCAGAAGCCGTCATTCAATTTTGAGCCATTTAATTGAAACCGGTGTTACTCCAGCCAACCCCGATCCACCTGCGAGATAACGGAAGGGAAAAAGCTACCGGTCTTACGCGTCGGATCCAGCTACTGGTCTTACGCTTTTGAGTCCAAACAGAATAAACTGTTCAGATACACGATTAAGGACGTGTATATTAATTTGTTTATCTCGATATGAAATTGTTAGGTTGCTGAGCTCTTACAGCTATCAGCATCTTCATTTACAAATTGTATTTTACGATATACTGTTAAAATGTGCACAACATTGAGACATTGTGTTGTAATTTCACAATCACACAATCTTTGAGCAAGTTGTGTTTACATTTATTTATTTTGTTTAAATTACATGCTATGTCTTCGCGCAAGTCAGAAAGATTATGTTAATTGATTCCTTTCAGTAGGATGTGAGTGACAAATAATGTGTCGGTCCCCGAAAAATGTACTTCCCTTTCCATTAATGACCCACATTTGTAACTGCTGTGATTATTTCGGATATCGTTTGACATCACGATGAATTCTGTCAAGCTGAATCTCACCATGGTCATTGAAAAAAAATATACCTGACTTTTATAGTCAACATTTAGGATCTATATAATCATCGGTTTTCAGTAAGACGTTCTAGCTCTTCAGTGGCCCCATGCCTGGGGAGATAATTTCTTGGAAATTACACTTCTATTTAGGCCCTAAATCTGAATTTAATTTTTTTTAAACAAATCGAGGATTTCAATGGAATTAAACTCCGTTCTGCGAGAGTGAATATCGCTGGGTGTTTAGTATTTATCTATTCAATTAGTGTCTACGATCAAACCAAAATGGCAACAAACCTTGCGGATTTACGTGCATATCTTAACGAGAAATGGCGAGAACTGGGTTCTAATCATTGAGTCGAGAAAATCAACGGCTGTTGCATGAATGAAAAAGGGTCGCAAGGTCCATGAAGAGAAATACGCTGCGTATAACTGCATTAGTTAGCCTATCGACACTTTTTCTTCATATAACATAAAATGGGGCAGTTTATATATGCTAGGCCTACAAGTGGAAGAGTTAATTAAGT